TTTTAATTTTTAAATTTTATTTTTAATTTTTAAAGCAAGGAGAATTAATCTTTTGACGTTTCTTCTCTTGGTGCCCAAGAACTTTACAATCTCGTGTTGAGACTATTGGCTTTTGACTTGGGTCCAAGAAGACACACTGACCCAAAGGGTGCCCTGGAGGCTTTTCCAGCTGCCCGGTGGATGTCCTTTGTTTTCACAGCTCCTGATGTGGCCGTGATTCTTTGGAATTGAAATACTCACAGCCTTGCCCTGCTGCCATCCCTTAAGCGTTCAGGAGGCTAGTGTGGATGTAAATACAGAGTCTCCAGCGTGGGTATCATTTCCCTTCCATCACTGACCATGTCCTTTTAAGTTCCTCATAAAAGCTGTGTGCTAGGCCAGAGAATACCCTGAAATGATCTGTAGGGAACTGATGAAAGGAACTACAGATTCTAGGCCAAGCAGAAATGACCTGCTATTTGAAGCCGGAGCAGAGCAAAATGCAGTGCAGGTTAATAGATCAGTGAAAGCTGTTTTGTCAAGCTCGTAAAAAGGTGAGGGAACCAAATTTTTTATAATAAATAGTTTCACTGAGCAAACAATATGTGTAGTTATTACTGACTTTGGAAAAGAAATGATTTTAGGCTAATGTCAGGCTCCAGATCCTGATGTAGGTAGTGGGGCCCTCAAAATGAAAAGAATGTAAAACCTCTGGACTATTGTCGACACACGTGCTATGAAAGCATACGCAATGTCATTCATTACTCACTTCTCGGAGAACATTTCTAGCGGTATTAACCTCTGGGCATTTTTGTATTTCTTACTGAGGGCAGTGTGTCTGGTAGGATTCATTTTGTGGGGGGCTGGGGGCAGCAGTTCGGAGGGGAGCGGATTTACAGACTCAGTGGCAGACGTGTGCTCAAGACTACACCCTCACAGGCTTTCAAGAGCCTGCCATCTTGGTCCTTGTCCACAAATACCAGTGGCCATGCACCCCTGATCACACATAAATAGCCAGCGAGTTGTATCTTCTTTGGTGGCCCTTGGAAAAGCCAATCATGAGCCTACAGACTTTTAAAATAAGAATCTGAACCTTTCCTCACGCCCGGCATCCCTGGTTCCTTCCACTGTCTCCTCCGGTGGTTTCTGGTCCATTCTGTGAATGGGGACTGCAGGCCCTCTGGGCTCTGTCTTCATCAGGATGCCTGGTATTGAATAGCCCCCGCTCCTTAACAGCAGAGCTCAGTGTTGAGATTATCATTTGAAAGCTTTGGAAATCTGAGAGTTGCTCCCGGAATGAAAAGGTAAGTGCAGTAGTTGTTATCTGGTTCAATATTTTGGTCAGTTTAGCGGTTGCCTGGTAACCGAAGTGAAACTGACCAGAAGATGGAAAAACTTGAAATTCATTTCCAGGGATTGCCTCAGACTGCCAAGAAGGCACCTTCCTGTTTTAATGTGACTAATTTTTTTTTTGTAAGTGCCTTGAAATCCTTTGGAGATGATGCACTGTTTTCTGGATGTTCGGTGTACTAATGAATATCCACAACCATTCACTGCCTGAGAAGAAAGCCCAAGAGTCTGCATTTGCGAGGAGGCTCTCGAGACCACCCACATCCCCTAAACCAGGCAGGATGTGGGTTCCACTTCCCAGCCCCTGTGGGTGCCAGCCTTGCCCATCCCTGCCTCTAGATGAAGCCAGGATCCTGGGAAACCCTCTGTTCTCTACAGCATGTGTTTGACCCTGAACTGGCCCCTTGGCCACTGGCAGCAGCCAGGCAAAAAGTGAGGAATGGCTGAAGATAGGCAAGGGTGGGCCAGTGGACCCCCAGGTAGCCACAGGTCCCCTTATCTCCAAACCCCCAGGACTGGGGAATTGTACCCAGGGAGACCTGCCAGCTCCTCGTGCAGCCTCTCAGAATTAAAGCCCTGGCCAGTCTTCTCCTGGTGGAGGGGAGTTATCAGTGAGGGCTCCGAGGGCCTGGAGTGCTCCCCATCTCTGTCCTCCCTACACGCAGCAAAAATGCCTTGAACACCTGCTCTGCACCTTTCTGCTCCAATTCCTCTTGAGAGACACAGAGCAGAACCTGCCTCTCTGTCCTCCCTCCACCTATGCTGCCGGAAGGGGTAGCTGGTACTCCAGGGGGAAATCAGCCCCAGAGGGGAACACCCCTCTGGAAGACAGACCCCAACCCCAACAGTGTCTGTGATCCGAAGCAAAACAGATGGACCACAGGTACAAAACAAGCATGGAAAATACTCCAGCAAACAAGGAAGATGTGACCAAGGCAGAGCAGAAACAAGGAGTCATTAAAAAACGAATGAAGGGGCGCCTGGGTGGCTCAGTGGTTAAGCCTCTGCCTTCGGCTCAGGTCATGATCCCAGGGGCCTGGGATCGAGCCCCGCATCGGGCTCCCTGCTCCGCAGGAAGCCTGCTTCTCCCTCTCCCACTCCCCCTGCTTGTGTTCCTTCTCTCGCTGTGTCTCGCTGTCAAGTAAATAAAGAAAATCTTTTTAAAAAATTAAAATTAAAAAATGAATGAAGTATGAAGAACAGAATCACCAAACCAAGAAACAAAAGAGCAAAGTTACAGGGTGGGTGCAGCTACGTAAATCTGGGTCAAACTGAAGAACCAGCCAGAAGGCAGCAAGAAAGGCTAAAGAAACAGCAGGTGTAAAACAAAGGTTGCGTGTTGTAGAGGGACTGAAGGAGATGGGGGCTCACAGAGGACCCCGCAGGAGAATTAGCGGGAAACCCTCCCACCAGAGGCTCAGGATCTCGGCTCCTTCCACCCAGGCCATTGCCCTGCAGACCACCAGGTTGTGCAGCGGGCCTGCAGATCGGGTTCCGAGCCCCCGGCCGCAATGCCTCTCCCGCCCTGTCCCACAAATACGAGGCACCAGCAAATGCAGGAGCCATGTCTATATGAGCCTGTCCTGTAGTCCCCGACCAGGGCCGGGACACTGGCAGGTGTTGGGAAGCAGTCATGGGATGAGTGAGGGAGTAAGCTCTGCCGGTAGCCAGGGAAGTCAGCCGTGTAGATCTGGATTTTGTAAATACGCGATGAATAACCATCTCATTAAAGTGCCAAACTGTGCTTAATGGGATTCGCCTTGGGAAAAGTCCGTTAACTTTTTCTTTCACCTTGAACCAAACGAAGTTCGCACTTTGTTGACGACACTCCGTACCGACTGTCAGGCGTCCTTTTCTGTCGTGTTTAAGCCCCTTCACGCTTCCATTGATTTCTTTGCCCTTTGGAGTCAGCACACTCTCTTCTATGGTACTGAGGCTTTTCCAAGAGGTCTTGAGGTTTCTGGCTGAGATGTTTCCTAATGTCAGTCCCCCACCCCCCACCCCCGGCACCCAGCACTTCACTGCAGGGGCCCAGGTTGAGTGGCTGGGTCTTCCAGAGACAACTGCCTTCTTTACAAAATTGCCCTAAAAATAGCTTCATTTCACTTAAGCCATTTTAGAAATTGTTTCGGATTTTGTTCAGACCCAGCTCAAAGCAGGATACTATTTCAAACAGGTATAATGAGCATCGAACCCTCTCACAAGGCCTCTGTTACCTGGTTCAGGCTGCTGGGAGTTGATACGGTTGCCTCGTTGGGAAGAGCCTCGGGGCCAGGGGGGGCTCAGGATGCAGCAAAGAACAAAAACAGACCAGCCAGGGCCCAAGTCCAGTTTGGCCAACTCTTGATACTAGGGGTGGGTGGTGGTGAGAGCCAGACAAGCAGGTTTCAGGGACAGAAAGCTCCAGGGATGAGGGTGAAGGAGACACATAGCCCAGCCTTCAGAAAGCTCCCAGTGTACGGGGACCTCAGCTCTAACCTGTGAATTCAAATCTGTGGCGGTGGGGGAGGGACTGCACTACTCCCTGAGATGGAACGGTTAGGAGGGTTTGGCTTTGGGGAGTGCTGGGGGTGGGGCCAAAGTAGGAGATGAGGGTCCGGAGTGGAGGGCAAGCCAGGGAGACAGCACAGTCCCTGAGGCTCTTTAGGCCCACATGTGGTGGGAGCTGTTGAAGCACAGGGCCCTGGGGCCGAGGGGTGGGCCACGGCGGGTGGTGGGCAGAGCCTCATGGAAGGGCCTGGTGTAGAGCACCGAGCAGGGAACAGGGGCCTCCTGGGTACACCTGGAGTATGGAATCGGGGGGCCCCGCCCGCAGGAGCAGGCCCTGAATCCAGGCAAGGATCTGTGGCTGTAACATTGTGCTCCTTCTCTGTCACGGGCCTACTGAGTCAGCCTCAGCCTCCTGACAGGGGCCACGGGGAGCAGTCCCACAGAAGATGGGGCCGTGTTTGCCCAGGTAGCCTGTTCTAACCTACCACAGACTTTTGGAATTAGGCCTTTATTAGAACTCAGCATTCTTCTCTCTCATGATGTTGTATGTTGGGATCATATATTTGCCTTCAGATGACTCAAAGGAGTAGTACTTTGAAAACAGAAAAAAGGAAAAAAAGACCCTAACAGCTCCCTGTGCATGAGCCAGCGAGGTGATGACCATGAACTGGGGTGGTTAATAGAGCAGACTGCAGAGTCCGCCAGCCTCCATTCCTATCCTCCCACGTCCCTCTCCTCCACCTTCTTGTGGTTCATTCCATCCTGGCAAACTTCTGTTCATCCTTCAAAACCCAGTTCACACATCACCTCCTTTGAAGCCTTCCCAGATTCCCTCCTCCAAAGAGAATTTCTCTCTCCCTCCTGTTTTTTGGGGGCACTCTTCAGTTTCCAGGTAGGACACATCGTATTTTATCTTTTGATGGCTCTGTCTCCCCAGTGAAATTGGGCAGGGTGGCCGATCCCACAACACAAGCGCACCTCCTCCCGATGGGCAGCGGAGTCCCCTCACGGGTCCATGCGGCCCCTCTCTCCACCAGTGCCCAAGACTGTGCCAGGCCTGTGTGGCTGCGGATCACTGTGCTGAGCTGGGAACCATGGTCACCCCGAGCCCGCCCACTGCCAACTAACGGCTCTCTCTCTCTCTCTCTCTCTCTCTCTCTCTCTCACCCTCACCTTCCTAGGGCCGACGAAATTGAAATGATCATGACGGACCTTGAAAGAGCAAACCAGGTAGGATGTTTCATGGCCTCAGGCTTAAAATCCCAACAGCATAGCTATTTATGTCATCTTGCTAGATGCTTTTGTCTAAGTTCAAAAGCCAGTTATTCTCGTATTTTTTACATATGATTGTCAATGTCAACGCTTTTTCCAGTGTCATGAGAAGTATGTGGAAGGTCCCTTGGTAGAGTCTTTGGTGTGGCCCCAGTGTCCCAGACTCCCTTGGTGACTGCAGAGGAGCTGTTGGTTTTTCTTTTCCTTAATCCATTTCTTAAATGACCGGTTCTGCTCTGACAGCAGCCATTACGCTTGAGTTTGGACCAGTGAGTCATACCGTAGGGAAGTCTTCATCTCTGCCTTCAAATGCTTTGAAGCCACTTGCTCAACTGACAGCCCTCTCCTGGCTAATACTTAGGTGTCACGAATGCCTTGGGGAACGTACTTGGTACTGTGTCCTGCACAAAATACCACACAGAACAGGATGGCTCGAAATACTCAGCCACCTGGGGCACCTGGGTGGCTCAGTCGGTTAAGCGTCCGACTCTTGATCTCAGCTCAGGTCCTGATCTTGGGGTCATGAGTTCAAGCCCCGCATCAGGCTCCACACTCGGCATCAGGCCTCCTAAAATAAATAAATACCCCCCCAGAACCCCTGACTTCTTCCCCGAGGACTCCACCAAACAGGAAAACATTGCACTTTAGCAAATGGTGTTGCTGCTTTGGAAAGAAAGAGTCTCCCCGTTTATTTCCTTCATTCGTGGGGAGAAACACCCAAAGCTGTGATCAAACTCTCGGCCTCAGAAGGCCCCAGGCTGTGGCCACGGGCACAGGAAAGCTTAGGGGTTTCCCTTGGGTAGAATCCTGTGTACCCGTGGTCCTGTCAGTAGTAAGAAGGGCTGACAGCTCTTGAGTAACTTGTGCCTGGCTCTATTCTGAGCTCTTGCCATGCACTGAGCCACCGAACCCTCCCTGCAACCCACTCAGGTCGCTGCTGATAGGATTCCCCATTTTACAGACAAGGACACTGAGGTCAGTGCTGGTCAGGTGCAGAGCTGGGATTGGAGCCTGTGCTCCTCACCGCTACCCTCAGAACCAGGGACACAGAACACAGGTCACTTTGCCTTTCTTTCAGACCCTCTCAGCTCCCAAACACACCCGTCCACACAGCTCCTCACTTCCAAGCACTACTTCTCCTTCACCCCACAAAAGTGCTTAAGCATTTATTTACCTTTATTTGCTTAAATGAATGTACTTTGGCCCCTTTACTCTTACTCGGCACTACTCAACTTTTCAGAGACCTTAACTCAGAAGAAGGTACTAGAAAGAGTTCACCTTCTCTGTCAGACTGTTACCCTTTGGGAATCCCAGATTTGTTCCGTGGCCAATCTCAAGCATGCCTCCTTTTGATGGCGCTTTGGGGTAAGCTCCAGGTTGTGCAACACAGCTGCAGTCTGGGAAATTCGAATGGACCGTCTCATGCTGTCTCCTAGGCAGTCCCCAGGTACTGAAGAAGTTGGGCCAAGTTGGCGTCCTTCTCAAAGTGCCGAAGGCCGGGCGCCTGGGTGGCTCAGTTGGTTGAGCAACTGCCTTCGGCTCAGGTCATGATCCTGGAGTCCTGGGATCGAGTCCTGCATCGGGCTCCCTGCTCAGCGGGGAGTCTGCTTCTCCCTCTGACCCTCTTCCCTCTTGTGCTCTCTCTCTCATTCTCTCTCTCTCTCAAATAAATAAAGTCTTAAAAAAAAAACAACAAAGTGCCGAAGGCCACTTGGCTGGATCTCAGTCCTGGGAGACACCAGGCAGGGCTGTGGAGAAAGGGGCCACCCCTTGGTTCAGGTCCCAACTCTGTGTTTGCTGGTTGTGTGGCCTCGGACAAGTCTCTTAACTACTTACAGTTCTTTAAAAAAGAAAAGAAAAAAGATGAACTTTTGCGAACACACTAAGGGAGAGAGGAGTCAAAGTCATAGAGAAGGTAGAATCCTGGTTGGCAGGGGCTGGGTGAGGTGGTACTGGTTAGTGGGAATAGAGCTTCAGCTTTGCAAGATGAAAAAGTTGGGGAGATCGGTTGAACGACAACGTGAATGCACTTAACGCTGCTGAAACGTACACTTGAAAATTGGTTAAGATGGTGTATTTTCTGTGTATTTTGCCATGATTAAAATGTTTTTTTTTAAATGTAAGAAAGAAAGGGAGGAAATGATAACTGGTACTTCCTTTGCATGATTGCTCTGGGGGTTAGAGGTTAAAATGCCCTAGTACGAAGTAGGTACTTAGATAAATCTGTAGTTGCTGAAGAAGCGCATATTTGGCGGGAGAGTTATAAAGTCCTGTGCTGGGGAAATACCAGCATGGTGGTCATGGGAGAAGTGTTAGGCGAGTTCTAACCGACAATTCAGGGTGAGTTAGAGCCTGATGTGGCTGCCCAGAGAAATGAATGCAACCTCAGGCTGCGTTAATAGAAATAGAGTTTCTAGAATGAAGGAAGTAGTGTTCTGCACCAATCTGTAGCAATCAGTCCATGCCCAGGGAATTATAATATATTTATATATTATATAAGATACTTCCAGAATTCTGTGGTTTCCAGAATATATTATATAATACGTTCTGGAAACCACACTATGAGGACAGCTGGACCTTGAGTGCATTCAGGCTCCACCCCATGGCCAGGACCAGGAAGGAACCGTCACACAAAAGAAATCAGGAGGTTTGGGGACATTTCCTGATCTCTGGGGAACAGGGAGAGAAGACAGAGGGGCTTGACACCAAGCACCAGAGGAATAATTTCAGGAACTTGGGATGTGACAGGGTTACAAAGGGGAAGGCCTCGGGTGGGAACATCATGGATTCTGTCCCGTAGCTCTCCAGGGCTGGCCCAGGGAAGGGGTCAGGCTTTTTCATGGCCATGGCCACACTTGGAGGCTGGAGGCTGGCGGGAGGGACCTTACTCCTGATGTAGAGAAGCCCTCTGTCAGTCCTGGCTCTCCAGAGGTGCCCAGAGCTGTGAAGGCAGATGCGGGCCAGCCCTCGCTGTGGGTGTGAGTTCAGGGATCAGACACAGAGGGAACAGAAGGAGGGATTGCACTTGACTCCGTGGGTTAACAAAGAGAAACATGCCCGGCGTGGCCATGACATGGTGAGCCCTGGGGATTCTGGGCCATTCCGTAAAGCCACAACAAGGAGGTGCAGGGTGGGAGAGTAGGCCCACAGGAGGGGATCTAGATCCAGGTTTGGGGGAGGACTTTGAACGTCAGGCCTCTACATGGAAGACCTCTTGTTGAGAACGGTGGAGAATCCTGGGCAGGAGTGAGACGTCGGACGTGTGTTCTAGAAGGATCCCCCTGGCAGAACGTCAGAGAACGGATGGGAGTGGAACGACTGGAAGCATCAGTTTCAGGGCAAGGCAGACTCAGGCCTGCAATGAGGCGGTCCCAAGCAGAGAGGAGGCAGCGGGGCGGGAGGAGGGGGACAAAGGAGCCGCACGCCGGTGCACGCACAGCCAGACATCTGGTTCAGCCGCCTTTCCCATCAAGGGAAATCCCCAAGAGGAGCAATTTACTAGTTCATTGGCATATAACATTATTTTTGCACTAGGTTTATAGTCAAAATGTTCTACTGAGACCTGAAGCTGTTTTCTTGCTGCCGCACTCGTGTTTCTGTTGTGGCAAAGTGGAGGAGTGGTCAGCAGCCGACAGCCCGGGGTCTCATTTACACCTGTTCATTAGACTTCAAGGCACTTGCCTTCAGACGCACTGCCTTGATTGGTGGCCATGATGGTTCAGAACGTTGAAGACTGCATGATAAATAAGAAGCCACAACTTTGCACCTTGCGACCATAGAAAGCCGTCTGGGGACTTCGGCCATTCTGGCACTTGGCCAGCTGTACCCTCACCCGTGTGCCTTTCTGAGCAGCTCTGATGTGAGCTGCTGGAGGCACAGAGTCCCAGCCGGTGGCAGGAGGAGGTCCTTCTTTGTGAGTGGTCCTCCTTCTGCTAACCTGCTGATTCTTACGGAGGAGACTGCCCTAACGGAAGGACCGTGAGCTTGAAGCACAGCTTCACCTCCCTGAGGAAAAGAGCCAAGTGTAGAGAAAAATGCAGAGAGTCACAGGAACTCCCAGCAAGGCATGGCACTTTCTTGAACCAAGGTTTCTGGTTTCCAATGGGGAACAACTGGGTTTGCATCCCAGATCTCCTATCTCCAAGCCATATGGCCTTGAACGAACCCCCAGGCTCCTGGTGTGTTTCCTCGTCTACAGAATGAGGGTAGTAATTCACACATCTGAGAGAACACTGCTGAAAAAAATCCACTGAGTAAATTTTGAAGACCTTGATCAGCTTTATTCAACGATTCCTGAATCAGGCAGCATCCCATCAAGCAGACAGAAAGGAGCTCCGAGGATAATAGAAGGCTTCTATAGGCAGAAAAGGAAAGGACAAGGAAAGAGCTGATTGTTTCAGGCGGGGTCCCCTTCCTATGGGAGCCAGGAGGGGTCTCTTGGACAGATGACCTCACTAGCATTGACCAGGAAATTCCAGATTGACGGGCTAGAGGTCCCCTTCCCGGGAGAGGCTGACACTGCAATTCGGTTAGGTCTTCCATCTTGGTTTGCTGACATGGGGTTTGGCACAAGTGACTCCATTTGGGCCTGCTGTCTCTGTTTTAACAATTCTGCCCTTTTGATCAGACTCTTAGCCTAACAGGGAGATTCTCGTGATCAAAATTTAAGGCATTAGTGCTGTTCTCAGCCACCACTCTGTAATCTTGCAGCTTTTACTGATCTTCTGTGTGATATTCCCAGGCCATGATGTTTTCTGTGGAATTCCTGTGGTGGTCACAGGATCATGACTTCAGGCTCACCATTTCTTAGTGGGTCATTCTTGTCAGTGCTTTTCTGACATTTCCAGGCTTGAGATCATTCGCTTGACGGCTGGTGGCTTCGAACATGCATTTAAAGCTTTTGAGAGTATACAGCACACCAGGGAGGTTACTGTGATTATTATAAGCCGGGTAATTCC